TTTTTCAAATCAAAGGTCTAGTGTGGAATATAGTAGCCAATCACAACTACCCCAGGATCATCAACAAAAATTACTATGTAACTATGATAAAATTTTTGCGATTATGTGATGATCTACAACAAATTATCTAATAAAGAATCTTGATTTGATGTAACATCACGCAATCAAAACAAATGTCTGTTTAGAAAAAACTGTCTTTATCTTAAAAATTTGCTTAAGAAACGATTCTTTATGCACTAACAAAAAATATTTCATTATATTCTACTTTAGTTTAAATACTAACTCTAATATAAAAGCACTTAAATAATTTTATCAATCATTATGTGATCGTAAAAATTTTGTTGGCGATGCTAGGAAAGATAGCCAATTACTAACAAGTCACGTACTAGACAGATGAACATTTTTCAAATCAAAGGTCTAATATAGAATGTAGTAGCCAATCACCAACAAGTTACGTGCTGAACAGATGGACATTTTTCAAATCTAAGGTCTAGTATGGACCATAGCAGCCAATTACCAACAAGTTATATGCCAGACAGACAGACATTTTTCAACTTTTACAAGTATATATAAGTCCTCGCTATGCTTCAGACAATTATTATTATTACCGATAGTTATCTTGCAGCTTAATATGATTTATCTGCCCAATAATTTTATTATTGGGTAGAAAATTATAGTAAGCTGTTAGGCAATTTCGTATCAAGCAGTGCTGCCTGATAATTATTAATTATATATCTAGGTTTTACCTGCTGGGAGCATCAGCTTTTATTCAAGACTTTGATAACTCAGTCTTTGTAATCATCACTAATACAGTTGCCAGCTAGGTGCTCCCTATTGGCTTTTTCAGTATCAGTTTTGGATACCTCATTGCTGTAATATTGCTGATCTTTCAATACACCTCTTAAATCAGTGATTGCTCATCTTTTTGGAACTTCTTTTGGTAAGTTCTCATATAAAGAGTGGCTTTTTGTTTTCAACATATGAGTAAAGTCATTCCTTCGCCTTTTCATTTTCTAAATAAATAAAATTTAAAATTTAAAATTACCAAAATAACAATAAAAATAATAATAATAATAATAATAATAATAATAATAATAATAAATTAAATTAAATTAAATTAAATTAATAATAATATAAAATGCTGAT